ACAACAACAACGATGACAGCGATGATGGTAAGGGGAAAGTACTCAGTACCTACTATTCTGGGCACCGGGCTAAGCACTTAGATGTTAATTCATTCAGGCCTCACGACAACCCTGGAAGGCAGGCATTATTATTATTATCCCCACTGTATCAACAGGCAAATGAAAATACTGAGAAGTGAGTTGCATAAGATCACAGAATTAGGAAGAAAAAGCCAAGACTCAAAACCGGGCAATTTGATTACAGTCCACAGTCCTAACCAATAAATTATACCACCTCCCTTGTTCCATGGATATACAGCCAAACCACTTATCTCTTGCTTAGAAAGACCAAGTCTGGCATCCCAGAGGCATCAGTGAGTCCCCCTCAACACCACAGAGACAAAGGAGAGGTAAGATGACATGAGAAAGGCTTTACAAGAAGCAGGCTGTCAGCATAACAAGTAAGAAAAGCACATGTGGAGCAATCAGTCCTAAAAAGGGGGATTTTTCTTTTCTTTTCTTTTCTTTTTAACAGGCTGGGTCCCATTAGATTAAATTCTAGCTTCTCAATGCCCTCACTCCCTCCCCTGGCCCCAGCCTCTGCCTGCATGTCAGCCAAGAGCTAGCTGTAAAACAACTGACAGTTAAATATGATTTATAATCAGAAAGAAGCTATCATTAGTACTCGTTCTATAAGATACTACAAAGTTCTGCAGATATTTAAGGAAGAAGTTACAACAAAACAAAGCAGACAAAATCTGCCAAGGAACTGATGCTGGGCAAGTGATGTCACGACATGGAAGAAATAATGAAAAGATGCTTCGCTATGGAATCCAAAAAATTAAAGAAAACGGTCTTCTCTGAAATACGGGATCACAGAAAAAAAAAGAATATTTCTAAGAAGAAATGACAACTCAATAGGGAAGATGAGAAGTAAACAAGCAGGGCTCAGAAAAACAATGGAAGAAAATAATAAAACAATTTTAGAAAAGATATCCTCAGTAGGATGAGCAAAGAGAGCAGACGTGGCTGAAAAGAATCAGAGACAGAAATGGCAGGCTGGTGAAAAACCAAGCAAAATAAAATGGAAACAACAACGGCTGGCAGTTCCAAGCCCTTCCTCTGTATGCACTCTTCCAAACCCTTTTTTTTATCTTTTTTTTTTTTTTAAGATTTTTATTTATTTATTATTTGACAGGGAGAGAGAGACAGTGAAAGAGGGAACACAAGCAGAGGGAGTGGGAGAGGGAGAAACAGGCCTCTGGCCAAGCAGGGAGCCTGATGCGGGGCTCAATCCCAGGACCCCGAGACCACGACCCAAGCCAAAGGCAGACGCTTAACCGACTGAACCACCCAGGCACCCCTTTTACTGTCTTATCTCCACAAATCTGCATACTCTTGGAGGCAGACACACTATGATCTCCATTTTCAAGAGAAGGTTTGGAAGGTCAAGTAACTGACCCAGAGTTAAACAGCAAGCAAGCCATAGTGCAAGGATTCAAATCCAGGCAGTCTGGCTTTGAAGGAAGTCTGTGCTGTCTCCCACTGAAAAAGATCAAGGCTTTTAAAAAGACTAGAAAGGCATGGACAGAGGGAGCAAAGGTGATCCAACATATTCGGAACTGAAGAAGAGAACAGAAAAGGATATGGAACCAAAAACAATAATTAAAAGATATACCAAAAAAGCTCCCATAATATAGCAAGACCTAAAATTGTAAAATAAAGGGTACACAGAGTCCCAAGAAAAACTGCTACAGAATAATCAGTATTGAAACATATCGCAGTAAAGGTGCTGACCTTCAAGGACAAAAAAAGAATCATATGAGCAGCCAGGAAAAAAGATTCAAGTCACTAAGGATGGGAACAAAAATCAGGCTAACTTCTCTGCAGTAACATGTATTATTAAAAGATAGTATATTTTTCCATACATTACAGAGATAAACCTCAGCTTAATTATTACAGAGTGCAAGTTTTGATCAGACAACTCCTAAGTAAATATTTTTGCTATCTATTCACAGAAAGACAAGGGATTGTGAAGTATAAAGCATACCAACTTGCCTAAAGTTATAATCATGCCAAGGAACTGGACATCAAATCCACGCTTCAAAACACAGAGCATTTTAGCACTCTTTTCTCTGCTGATTTCAGCCACCACCCACATTTTAAATCAATGCTAGGTTTTCAAAGAATAAAGGAGAGGGTGCTGATTTCATAATACATCAATATAAATGAGCTTTGCATTTATATTGCAAAGCTCTTAGGAAGACTGAGGATGCGAAATAGCATTCCCACAATGGTACAGAAGAAAACAGGAAAGAGATGCAACTGTAACATCCCCAGACATGTTTAGGAAAACATGCTATAATATATACTATTCTATGATACATACTATACTCTACATAGACTATACCATAAACTCTATTGCAACTGAAGGTAAGTAATTCACTTCATGGATTAGATTATCCAGGGGCACATAATGATTCCAAATTACACATAATAAAACAAATCATTACAGTAACATTGTGCTCTGATATTCCCTTCAGTCTTTGACCTTCAAACTTTAAAATGGACTAAAAATATATATATACTTAAGATAAGTTGTTCGACAGGCTGCTTTATGAATGTCACATTGTCCTTCTGTTACTAATTAACCTCATTGTATGCATGTGAGCCAAACATCTTTCCGTCTTGAGCTTAGTGGAAGGGTATGAGACTGTGAAACAGACTCCAAGAAACTGATCTTTCTTCACAAGGTTGATGATATCTGTCATTAGCTCATGATTACATCAGGCCTTCCTTCAGGTATCACATTTGTAAATGGGCATGGTGCTAATGAAGGTGATAATAAGAGCTAACACTGAAAAATTAACATGTGTCAAAGGTAAACAAATCTCTTCAGTACATCCATTTCTTCTACTGAGCCAAATAACCCTATGAGGTAAATACGTAGCAGAGTGTGAGGCATATAGTGAATGTTCCATAATAACAGTACGTTATATGTGAAGAAACTAACACTTAAAGAGGTTAAGTAACTAATCTGGTAAAGACTAGACTTGAACCCAAGGCTGTCTCGTGCTCTTAGTCACCATTCTAGTTTGCTTACTCACACATAGAAATAGTGAGGATGTCATGGTGGTGATCATTTTGCAATATATCCAAATATCAAATCATTATACTGTACACCTAAAATTAATAGGACATATCAATTAGACTTCAATTTTTTTAAAAAAGAGAGGATGTTAACTAACGTAACATAACACAGTAGCCCACACAGGACAGCAGCCTCACAGTCCCAACTACAGGGCATCCAAAAAAAGCTATAAGAAAGCAACTTCTACCTAATATAAAAGCTAAAAACTGTATTTAGGACAGTGGGGAGAAAGGGCAAAAGGGAGACGAGCAAAAGTATATACACAAACAGATAATCAAACAAAAAAAATCCGTATCACAGAAAAGAACACATCGCCATTGTATCTGGGCCCTAAAAAGTATCAAACATACCTATCTGTTCAGGCCCAAGATGCTGTCCAAACACAGGCCCATGAACCAGACTGTACCCACTCTACCCTGTCAGTTGACCAAGTTACTGCAACTGGATACTCCAGGGAGTAATAATGCCACAGCCTCAGGATGTGAGAAGGCAAAAGAGCTCAAGAATTTGGAAAGCGATTTTCTTGCATTCCCATCCTTAGAGAAGAACAATTATCTATGCTGGGGTGGAATGGGGTGGGGAAGAAAAGGAATCTAAAAGAGAAAAGAAATAAAGCTAAATATGTCTGACATCTCATTATCCCTTGGGGAGGATATCGTCCTACACTAAGGATATACAAAGGTACTCTCTTTAAAGTTAATCCTGCAGGTGAAGGGACACATCCCCCACTTCATTTCAATGTTACATACACATTCCAAGATAGATATTATCAATGTTTCTTCCAATGTTCTCATGAGCCTATGTGTGTGGGGGGGGGACAACTCTGAGGTCATGAAGTCTGGGGACAGAAATGCAAATTCATACCCAACCCAGTGTCACCCCTACAAATAAATGTTTATAGCTTAAGGTTTTAAAATTTATTTAGGTAGAGCCATAAAAATTTTAAAGCCTTAACGTTTAAAATTTCTTTGAGCAGAATAAATATGCTTTATCAAAATAGCAAGTTTGCAGCAGCACCGTCTCATTCTAGAAGTTTAAGAGAAAAATTTTTCTAAAATGCTTGGAGCTGCTGCCCAAAGTACTGAATTAGCTCTGAAGTTGTCATCACCACCAGAGCCTCCTTAAAGAATATTCCAAAATTTATGTGCAAATTGCAGGTGCCAAATCATTTCCCTCCTAAATGCTTAGCCTCGACAGCCAGAGGCTGACCAAGTGGAATCAAAAGATCCCGACGTTGTAGTCCAAGTTTTTCCAATACTGTTTGTGCGACCTTGGACAAGTCAATTAGCCAAATAACTCTCATTTCCCTCTTCTGTAAACTAGAAGGGGTAAACACCTGTCCCACCAACCTCACGGCTGCGTCAGTGTTTGTTAAGTGGAGAGGCTGCTCCAGAGGGTGGCCCGCCTCCTGCCGCCCCTGTCCCCCCTGTCTCCCCTCGCCCCCAGCGGCAGCCCAAGACAGAAGGAGCCCGGGACCCTGCGGTACGTGGCCCGCGGCTCCTCAGGAAAGGATGCTCCCCTCACCAGCCCTCCCCTTGGGATGGCGGCGACGCGTGCTCTGACAGTCACCCCCGCAGCAGCGCCCGCCCGCTCCCGGCCACCAGCCCCGCGTGCCTTCAGCGGTCCCTCCCCGGATTCTCCCAGGCTCGCCCCGCGCCCGCGACCCCCGACCAGCCGTGCGCCCCTCTCGCCCCCTGGTGGCGACGGACCCCAGCCCGCGGGGGCTGCACCGGCTCGCCTCCGTGCGCCTGCAGCTACGCTGGGGCTGGGGCTGCGGCCAGGCCCCGGCCCGCTTCGCCCCCAGAGCCTCGCCTCCTAGTCTCCCGAGGCCCCGCGGGGGCAGGGTGGTCGCGAGGCTGCGACTCCTTACCGGGGAGCTTGAGCGCCCTGGACAGCACAGTCGCCATGGCGGAGGCCCCGGTGCGCGTGCGCGCGCCCGCGTCCTGCCGGGAAGAGTAGTTCGCAGCGGGCGGTGCGCGGGGCTGGCACCCGGGAAGGTGGGAGCCGCGGCAGAGAGGGGCCAGGGAGAGGCCCGGCCTGCGGCATCCGCGCCCACGTGCACGCTGCGGCGGGCTCTCCTCCCGGCCGCTCCGAGCCGGACCCCTCACCGGCAAGTCACTTCACCACTCTGAGTCTCACTTTCCTGCTCAGCGAAATGGGGTAATAATAACTACCCCCCAGGCTTGCAGCGATAATGAAATGAGATAGCAGGTAATAAAGGAGGCGCCGGTTGTGAAATGAGCGTGGGCTTTGGAGTCAGACAGACGGGATTTGAATCCTGCCTGCATCCCTTACAAGCTGGGCCATCTTGGGCAAGTCACTTGGTATGACTAAGCTTCAGCCTCATTTTTAAAATGGAGACACTACCTCATTCACAGGCTTACTGTGAGAATTAAATAAATCTGTTACAACACACGGCACACAGTAGGCACCTAGTAAGTGTGTTTCTTTACGTTTCGTAGTAAAGGGCGAGGTTTCCTAGGGCTCTAACCCCCGTCCTGGGTTTCCAGTTCTTTCCAGGTATCTCCTGGACACTCTACCCTGCAGCTTCTAGCTTGAAGGGTCTAGGAAAAGGAACTGACCTGCTTCTTCCCCACAGGCACCAAGAAAGAGATCAGCATCTTAGTGCAGAAATGCTAAAGAAGTTGGGCTTAGAGTTAGGCTGGTCTTAGAGGCCACCTAGTCCACCCTCCTTGTTTCACTGAAGAGAAAACAGATCCAGAAAGATGATGTGACTTCCTAGTGTCAAACAAAAGCTCTTAAGATACCTCTCTCTTGGACTCCGCCTCATTCCCATGAGAAACGGTCAGCAAGACTACCCTGAGTGTGTCATCTGAGAGAACTCTTAACAGCCATCTCATCACCCTCTTCCCCACGAAAACATATCAGGGACTCTGACAGGGCACAGGGTCTAGAGACAGGCCACTGAGCTCAAATCCTGACTGCACCATTTCCTAGCTGCCAGATCTAAGGCTACTTGCTTATCTCTGCCTCGATTTTCTCATCTGCAGAATGGGGTTGAAATAGTTCCTATTCCAAAGAGTAGTCCTGGGAATTAAAAGGATACATGCAAAGCACTTAGAAGGTGCCTGTCACCTAGTACAGGTTTTGTAAGTGTTAGCTCTTCTTTTTACTAATAATTTGTTCATTTTGACAATTTAATCATTTAATAACAAGTAATAAATTTCATAATAATGGATTCGTAATGTATTCATTTATTCCTTCAGTGTTCTATAATACCCGAAGTTTTTACTGTTTGCCCCCTCTCTGGAGGTAGGATTAAAAACCATATTTTACATCTATGTAGGTCATCTCTAAGGAGCAGCACTACAAGGCACAATAAGCCAGTAGTGGCTTGCCTGACATCAGATTAGCTAATTGGAACACATTCTTGAGATATGAAGACTGAGGAAAATAACTTTAGAGTGAGCAGGTTGTACGATAGGTCAGTTTTAGCTGCAAAAGAACAGGAACTTGTGTTTCTGGGAGAAAGCAGGGGGGCTGGAACAGCCAGGTTACACAGAAGAGGAAGCGAAGAGGAGATCTGTTCACTTTTCATGGTGAAAGGGCATATTCTTATGTGATGGAAGTAAAATAGAATTGTACAGGTTAAAGTTCAATTAAAATTTTCCTTCACGTGGTATAGTCACCAAAAGCACCGATATGCATAGACAGTTATGTGTGAGCACATAACCATATGTGAGTGTACACACGTCCCAGACGTGTGTCATCTCCAGCCCCTCAGCCTTCCATGCCTAATCTTTGTGGCATTTCCACTCTCCCTCAAATCACCCCAGATTTGCCCTAATGATGTTCAGGGGGAAGCAGATGCTGAGGACTCCCTCCCTCCCAGCTCCCTGAGCAGTCCTCCTCTTTATTTTCCTTGGAACTTCTGGAATTCTCCTTCATCCTCTGCATCTTTTTGCATCTTAACACAGGACCTCGGGCTTAGAACAGTGTTTCTCAACTTGAATGTGGTTTTCTTCCAATTAAAGGAAAAAAAACCCAGGCGCCTGGGTGGCTCAGTTGGTTAAGCGTCTGCCTTTGGCTCAGGTCATGATCCCGGGGTCCTGGATCAAGTCCCACATCGGGCTCCCTGATGAGCAGGGAGTCTGCTTCTCCCTCTGATCCTCCCCCTTCTCACGCTCTCTCTCTTTCTCTGTAATAAATAAATAAAATCTTTATAAAAAAAATAAATACACATAAAGGGGAAAAAAAACTCAAAGCTGCCTGCAAGTTCCTCTCTGGTTACCGGGCCTCGTGTGAGCGCCTTCACTGCCCAAACACCCACTGAGGTCTCTGTGGGAAATGCAAAAATGCTCTGGGTTTCCTGACTTCCCAGCTTGGCTTACCTCCCCGAGAAGTAAACCAAGAGGAACAAAAACCTGCAGAGGGATGCTTGTGGACAGCCCTAAGCTGCCTGACTGTCGCGCCCGCTCTGAGAAGCAGAAATACTATTTCTGAAAGTCAGAACTGAAGCCAGAAGAGCCCCCCTCTCTTCTTCCTACATTGGCCTACGGTGGCAATGGTCTTCCCCAACCTTCCAAGGTTCAAATACTTGGTAGAGGGAACCCATATTGGCTGGCTTTTACTACCTTTGTGATAGCCCAAGTATTGCTCAAAATCTCTGAGCATCCTACATGGTTCGAGATCAAATCTGGTCATCTAATCCTTAACATTCTGTGACCGCTGTCTCCACGTCTGCTGGTTCTGACCCTCCGACTAGCTTTCCCCGCTTCCTCGTGGAACCAGTACCTCTGTGTCCGCCAGCAGATCCCGCCCCTTCCTCCTGGTACCACTGAGACTTCCCAGCCTCCTGGCCATTTCTACTTCCTTTTAAAACTGCTTCTTCTTCTTCTTCCTCTGTCTCCCCCCAGTCAATGCCACTTCGTATTTCAGCGCTGTCAAAATGGCAAAGCTGTGCAGGGCAGGGAAGACTGCCTCTCTTCTGTTTTTATGTTACTCTTAATTAGAAAAAATACAAAAGCTATGCTGCCTCTTCTTCAAGGTCAGATGCAGTATTTTCATTAAACAGAGCTTTCCATTTTTCCTTAGTAAGTCAATCAGGGCAGGGTCATTGCTCTTAACGAACAGCCTCACGATGTCAGTGGTTTTAGAGGCTAAGTGTTCATTTGGGCTCATGTCACAGTCAAAGTGAAAATGGGGATAGGCAGCGATGGGGGTTCTATCTATTCCTCCCAGTTATTCAGGGTTTCCGTCTAGGGCTTCTTTCTTCATCCTTAGGCCTTGGATTCCTCCACTGGATTATTTGCATCCCCAATCAGGCAGGAAGTTTTCTGGGCCAGGCCTGGAGGTGGTATATGTGATTTCTGCCTACATTTATTTGGCCAGAACTCAGACACAGAACATATATGCCAGGAAGGTATGAGCCCAGGAAGCAAAGGAAACAATTTAGTGAGTATCTATTCAGTCTGTGCCATAGTAGACACCCTACATCTTTATGGGATACATACCTGAGTTCTTGGTAGTGGGGAGGGGGTTTGGCACTCCTCTACTTAGAGTTACCCCTCTCCTCTAGAGACTAAAGCTTTGTTTCTGAGCTGAGCTTGTTGTCCTGAGTTAAGACTTTCCACTGTGTGTAAGGTCTCTCAGGAGGCTCCTCGATCTCTCTAGGGGCCATTCCTACATCTGTCAGCAGGGCATGGACAAGTCCAAACCCACTGGCAGACCCGTCTCAGGCTCAGAGTACTACCCTCTGCTACACTGGTGCTAAAGACTTAGAATCAGGAAGCGATAATAAGATTTAAAAAGCAAAAAGAAAAGCAAATAGCAATGAGAGCAGGGAGATTGAGAAGAGTAAAGGAGGGGCTCAGCAATGCCCATGTCAAGGGTCCTATGAAATCAGCCTTGCGCTCAGATCAGGAAGGTCTAAAAGCGCATGCACACGAGGTATATTCACTTCTCATCACAAATAACTGGATTCTGTGACCAGGAGTTGCATGGCTTATGGTGAAGACCAAACAGGTTTATGTTCTCAGAGTGTTCTTTAATCAAACACAAGGCCCATCCAGGTTGGATTCATACAGACTTCCAGTCTACAGAACTTTCTAGAGTCTCAACTTTAAAATGCCTTCTGGGCCCTGAGATTTAAACAAAGGCTTCTTCTTAAGTCTCTGGCTGGAACGTACGTTTAAGAATGACACTATAATTAAGGACAGACCTGGCCAGGACAACTTGGCTCCCGTTCCTCTGGACCTTCATCCTAGCTTGTTACTGTGTCTACCAAAGCACTTGTGGTAGTAATGGGCGTGCCGATAGCTACCGTTTACTGAGCACCAATCTCCTACAGGAGAGGACATTGTTTTGGACCCTTGCCAACCTTGGCCCAAAACTCGGCCCTTCACCAGCTTTCAAAAAACAAAAAAACAAACAAACAAGAAAACCCCCCAGTGAACCAAGTATATCGTGACTTGTGTAGTTTTCCTGAAGATTTAAGGGGTTAGGGGTGGAGTCACAGGGGACACATAGCATTTCACCAGAAATATCTGTTCGACACATCTCTTCTCCCGGGCCCTTGCTCCTACCTCCATCACTGCGTCTTCCTCCACCAGGACCCTCTTGTGTCTGTCCCACCTTTAAGCTCTTCCTTCTCCTCCCTTTCTGCCTCCTGCTACCATTAGCCTTGACAGGAGGCTGGAATCTCACCTCCATCCCACAGTGGGCACGATCTTTGCATGAAGCCATCTACCTCCCACAGGGGGCAGGCTGACACAATGTGCGCGATGTTGTCCCTTAGGTCTTACCACCCTAATCTTACAATGAGGCTGTATAAGCTGGACGGACAAAGCCACTGGCCCAAAGTCTCACAGTTCGTACATGCTGGAAGGAGGATTCGAATGCAGGTTTGTCTCGTTTCTAATCACAAGCAGGGATATCAAATACATGGCACATGGACTACAGTTTGTCCTTT